TGTAAAGACATTAAAAACACAAAAAAACAAACATTCTGCAGTCCCAACATTTTGACTTTGATTTTTTTATTTAAAAAAAGTTAATCACTGCAGTCTTGTGCAAAATATTCAAAAATACTGCAGGGTGATAACATATGATACTGTATTTAGCAGTTTAATACACAATTCTTATTCTTTAATACACACTTTTTGATCATTTGAGTACATTTCCTTACCTGTGTTACGCAGTAGAAAGTGTATTGTGGTATTAGTACTTTTACTTTAGTGAAGGACTTGCTTCACTGATTTTGTTCCAAACTTGTTACAATGTTACAAAAAAAATATCCAAAGACAGAATTATGGTACAAGGTGATTCACAGCAGCTACACAGAAGACACATAATAGTGTAGAGGGAATTCCAGGAGTTGGTAATGGATAGAGAAAGAAATCTAAATTAGAGGTTACAACATACACAGGAAATGCAGTATCATCAAATACTTAAATGTTTAAGTGGAGAGGAAGGATTGAAAAGTAACTGAACTTAAACTGAATTCTCAAAGCATTTGAGAATAAATCACACCACCTGTAGGCGTTTGTTTGGTCTAGCAAGTAGATAAAAGAATGGCACCCACACACTTAGACTAAGGTTACCAAATAACTGCAAGGTTTAGTAATATTTCTGATTTGCAAGCTTGGACAACGTGAACATCAAAAATCTGGTACAGTAACGGGGAGCTTCTATGTCAGGTTTGGCTTGTAACTGAAACTGTCCGGATCTCCTGCAGGAGAAATTGGAGCTGACTGACGTCTATACTGAACTTAAAACCGGAGAAGTTCTGATCCGTCTGCTGGAGCTCATCGCCAACGAGAAGTTGCCATCGCGGAGCCGAGGCAAGCTGAGAGTCCACTTTCTGGAGAACAACAGCATTGCCATCAATTTCCTCAAAACCAAAGTAACCTACTTTTTGCTTTTTGGTGTCCTGAAAGTGATCCACCAAATTTACAAATACACAAAATTAATCTTATACACACAAACCTCAGTGTACAACTGTCTATGGTTATAGTATTATTCCTCATGAGGAGAACGGTCTTTTCTCAGTATATTTTAATCCTGATTAAATGTTAGTTCTAAAAAGCCAATCAGATTATCCTAAATGTCAAGGTAATCACTTTCAGTTCTTACTGGCAGCTGTTAAATGTTGAACTAGCAGTCTCACGAACGACAGCTTCACACTGCTCTATGCTCTACTGTTAGATTCGGGTGGATTTAATTGGTCCAGAAAATGTGGTGGATGGGGATCGTACACTGATCCTGGGGCTGCTGTGGATCATCATCCTCAGGTTTCAGATTGGACATATTAACCTGGAAGAGGTATCGAATTAAAACTACAGCATCTAAAACTACAGTTATCTCCTTTAATCTAAACAATTTATTTATGAATTTAACATATTTAACATTTTCCCTCTTTTTTGGGGTGTTTTCCTTTTCCCTTTCCTTTCCCTTGCTCCTCCACATTTTTACTTTTGTCTTTCCATCTTCTTGTCTTTTAAATTTTTTCCATTTTTGCCTCGTTCTCATTTCATCTCACCCCCTTCCCTCCTCCTCTTTCTCAGGGGAACAGCGTAGCTCATCGCTCAGCTAAGGAGGCTCTGCTGATCTGGTGTCAGAGGAAAACATCAGGCTACAATGGTGTTGACGTGCAGGACTTTTCCTCCAGCTGGAGGGATGGACTTGCCTTCAATGCTCTTGTCCACGCCCACCGGTAGCATACTTTTTGTTGTATTTGTGAGGTCCCTCATAAAATATTTCCACTTTCCTAAAATATCCTCAAAAGTCAAAAACTCAAATGGAAACTCAAATCGCTTCTCACAGAGTAAACATACATGTGTCTGTCCATCCCAGACCTGACCTTTTTGACTACCACCGTTTCCATGGCGATAACCCCCAGCGCAATCTGGAGCACGCGTTCACTCTGGCAGAGCGGGAGTTCGGTATCATGCAGCTTCTGGAGGTGGATGACATCATGGTCGCTCATCCTGATGAAAAGTCCATCATGACCTACGTGTCTCTGTACTACCACTACTTTTCCAGGATGAAGCAGGGGCAGACCATCCAGAAGAGACTTGCCAGGGTTGGATTCAGCACAAACACAAACACAGCAGCATTGCATACAACAGAAAAAAAGATCAGTCAGATAATAAATAATATGACCATAATAGCATAATACATAATAATATTAATTGAAGCCTAAGTGATTCTAAATTTGTGTATAGATGAGTGCATATAAATATATATGACACATACAGACATGCACATGTTATAGATATTAAAGGTGACATATTTCTAATATAAGGCAGAATTGTTTGTGTTTAACTATTACCTTAAACATGCAGCAAAAATAAAAAAGAGAAGCAATGGGGCAGAGAAAGAGTCTGTATCAGTCTGTCAGTCCATCTTTTCAGACCCAGCTATTGTAACTTGATGTTGATTAGCAAAAACCGAGGCTGGTTACAATACAACTGACATAATTTTATGGAAAATCTAATCTATAAGGCAGGTTTCTGAACAATTACAGTCAGTTTATTTGTCCCTAAACTCAGATTGTCATTTTTTTCTTTAAATAATGTGTTGCTTGACATAATGTCTGTCATACCGTTTATAGTGTGGACTGCTCTGCCCCATGTGGTATTGTAACCTGCTCTAAATAGTGTAGATTACTGCTACACTGACAAGCTGCTGCTCACACAAAACACAAAACACAGCTGGTGGGATTTTTATTTTGGTAGATAAGAAGGTATTAGTAGCTCAAAGGAGAACCTTTCATAAAAGAGGGGCTGTGGATGTTAAGAATCACATCAGATCACAAACAATGAGATGCTGCTGGAGGCAGCAGCAGGAACTCATTCAGAGAACCACACACCTTTAACACACCGAAGCTACAAGCCTTTATCTGCTTCACACACATTCCTTCTGCTGTACATGATAATAACCAAGTTAAACTGAGTTAAACTGTTTTGGGGCTGAGTGTTGTCAGATGTTTTTTAAGGTTTGCATTTTGTTTATTTGGACTGAGGGTTATGGTTGCAGGAGTGAAAGTGCTGTGACTGAACACTGATGCTGCTGAATTGCTTCTCATTCTTAAATAACAACCACATTAGTTAATGGGTGGTGAAACTAATATGTTTAATTTCTCATCTTAAGTCACGTACACAATGGAAGTGATAACTACAGCTTTGAAAATTATGTTAGAAGCCACTTTTATATTTATTAGCATTTTTGCATTGATAGGTAGGCAACTATAAATCAAAAATTAAGCGAGCCAATCATGTGATGTAATATAACAGCCATGCATTTTAAAATCAACATTGGCTCATATAGCTTGTGATAGTGATAGTGCTCAGGTGCAGTGACCAGCATTTTCAGAATGCCAGGAAGTGACTGACAGCAGCCTTTTCCAATGAGGTTGAGCAGTTTCAGATGGACACTTTTTTTACCCCAGTGGGGTTGATGGGACATCAAGAGGGGCAGGCGCAGGATGCAGAATTACAGTTTGCAGAATTAGAGTCAACCAGCAACAATGGGGATTGCCTATTAACAATGAAATCATTAAGAAGGCAAGATGGGTAATTTAAGGATTAATTTAAATGAGCAACTTTGCTTGGTTGCTAATTCTTTGGTTACGAACAATATTTTTGTCTTTGATTTGCCAGTCCAGATTCCATTTTAACATATCAAACCAAAACATCCAGAACACAAAAGTAGGACTTCATTCTTTTCTCCACAGATTGTTGGGATGCTCATGGAGCTGGATGGCATGAAGATCCAGTATGAAAGAATGGTCTCAGATCTGCTTCGCTGGATCAAAACTAAGGTAACAGGTCAATCCCAGAAAAAACACAGGAAAAAAAAACAATTAATGAATTAAATTTGGTAATACTTTGACTGAAGATGGTGCAGCTGAATGACAGAAGATTCCCAAACTCTTTGAGGGAGATGCAGAAACTGATGAGCGCTTTTAAGACCTACAGAACTGTGGAGAAACCTCCCAAATACCAGGTCAGATGACCCTCACATTTTAAATTCAGC